CTGACAGCTACAGTTTCTGACATCCTTCACAAATCTTCTACTACAATGTTCGGGAAAGGACCCATACTCATTCCTCCCCCCGAGACCTGCCAGGGGGCTGGGTTAGGCGTGAAGCCCGCCTGTTTTCCACCAATTGTTGTCGCTTGTCCGATTCACGATTGGTGGAGAGCGGGCTGACGCAGATCACACCAACCCCGCTGACATGTTTCAGCGCCTAGGGGAAACGACTGTAGATGACGACTGTAAGAGGAGGAAAGTAGAATTAATATCACATCGCTCGAATATTTGCCATTTTTCTAATCAGCGTTCATGCGTTCTTCTCGACAGCATTGGAATTGGGAAAAGAGCAAACTCATCGCGCTGGGACAAGTTTGCCAATTGGACCTCGCTCGCGCATTTTCCAACGTCGGTCGGAGACAGGGGAACACACAGAGAGAGAAGAGAGAGAGACAGAGAGAGAGAGAGAGAGAGAGAGAGGAGAGAGAGAGAGTTGGAACGGGAAAAACTAGACATTCAAGAATTTTTTGTTCAAGATCAAACGCGGCCTCAGCAGCCATGTGAGGCCGCTCTTTTGTGATTTCCATAATGAACTTGATGGTCGCGTACTCCATTCAAATGTGGCGTAGGATGCATAGGATGCGTTTCTCGTGGGATGTTTCATCCAAATTAGCTGTCATCCTGTGTAGTGCTGTAAAAAGACAAGTGAAATCTCTCCCAAAAGCACCATAGCTATTCCTTAAGCAAATGCTCTGGAAGCGCTGCCGCCGCCGACGCGTACGCAATTGCGGCCCTCCCATCTTCGGGATATGGAGTGTAAAAGTGTACTGGGGTCTGACAAGAAGTCTATTTCAAGGCCTTAATTCAACTATGTGAAGGTGTCTTCAAGAGGGACATAATTTCAACAAAAAGAGACACTCCTGATGTATAAGCAAGCGATTTCTTCAAAAGGAGAAGGATAGGCGAGGATAAACCTGTTATTGGGAATCAACTGAGAGATTCTTCAGTACGTCCGTACCGACGCGTTCAAAATACAGACCCAGGGCTCAAAGTCAACGAGCATGGCGCTGGACCGATATATTGCATTTCTGTACAAACCACTAGACTGACAAAAAAATGGAAAGAAAAAATTGTTCAGAACAAATTAGGCTGGCTAGAGCGTCGTTCTGTACTTGTTTGAGAAAAAAAACTAATTGTAAGATGCATATCGGTCAATGAAAGGCTATCAACAAAGGCTGAAAGCCATCGCTGGGAGCGAACCACCGCCGTTGATGGCACGCTCGACTGCTCATGTTTTGTCCAAAGGTTTCCGGCTTCTAAAGCAGATCAATGCCAAATAGCAAGCACGTGGATGTACCTATACAAGTAGATAGCTCGTTGCATTGCTGAAGCGGACCTTTTCGAGCATCAAAACATTATGAAGGAACTGGAACACGCCATCGCTAAAATTCGTCACTTTTGAATGGGGTGCGCGGTCACGACCTCTTCAGCTCCCGAATGTGGGTTGTACCATTCTGATCTCGCTTCAGCTTATTTTCTGATCACCATTGCTACACCGCCAAGTAAGGAGAGAAAGGACCAGGGACTGAAGCATGGCCATAGATTTTATCAGATGTAAAGGAGTGATCTATTGAGGGGGAAAAAGGATGAATTCCAAGCGGGGAAAAACCACGGTTCCTCTCATATAAAGCTGCCATTACAATTAATAGCACACGCATATGTAAATTATGTCCATGTTAGTCTCTAACGCGCATTTCACGGTGGCAGAGAGGGTAATCGGCTTGTAATGTAAAACGGAAGGGGCAGTCTTGCCTGCTAAAGAAGAAGAAAGCGAAATCAACCGTTGAAAGCGCCCTACGTGCACCCTGATCCTTGAGCGGTCGACCACTTGCATTATATGTATGTACGAGCATACAGCGGAGAATTACTGAGAGCCCGTATGGGAAACCGGGCTGGTGAAATTCGGAAGGAAGAGACCAGAGCAGAACTGTCTCGTTTTGTGCTCATTCAAGTCAGCGAATCAGAGCTTCTGCACTTGCGGACCAACTCACCTTGCCTACAATACTCCGCTTTCAATCTTGAGTACTGTCCTCATCATCACGGACTGTCGGGGCGTGTCAGCCAGTAGGAGTGCGCACACTGTTTGAAGCCGTTCTCAGCCTTTTGTTGAAACGCGTATGCGACAAAAAGTGGTAGAAAACGAGTAATACGAAGGATATAATACTGTAATGGTCAACTTGAGCGTTCAACAATTGGTGTTATAACGCCTTCTGATATCAGCCCCCGAACGCAGCGCAGCTTGACAGCGGCCGACAGTCCGTTTGTGAGGGATTGTAATAATTATGGTTGATCTCTACAAGTTCGTGGGCCATGTCTTAGAATCTCCATCGATGATCCCCTAGCATTTTGAAATTCCAGATTATGTGTCTATTGGCAAGTGTATTTACGTGATGCATCCCGACTGTTTCTGAACTCCTGCAGTGCGCTGTATCTCTATCCAAAAGGTAATTGCAAATTCATATCCCCGAAACCTTCGCTATATGATGTCCACCGAAGCCACGGAGTGATTGAAGGCGGGCACTTTTTCTATTTAGTTAGGTCCATTTACCTCTCACGGTATTGGCGGTTGAAATGGCCGATTGGTTCTGCTTGAATAAACTCCTGCCTGGGAAGAGAAACTACTCGTTCAGGGAGGCCACTGTCTTGTCATTTTTGACTCTAACTCGTTTCTGTTGATATAGAACCAATTCATTACGATCACGCTATCTAGTCCTTACACTTTCTGTTCCAATAAAAATGACAGAGGACCTCGCTCCCTTGAAGAAGTATTGAAGTTCGGTCAAAATTTTTCTCATGAGTTGGACGATGCTTTAAGGGGGACACTTGCGGTATACTGTTTACAAGTTCCCGTTACCGGGCTTCCGGCATATACGGACGATGTATGAACAACGTTGCAATATGGAGTAGGTGTAACTTCCAATCGTCCAGTATCACAAACTGCTAACCCCGTGGATTACGATTGTCCTGTCACATGCCCGTCCGCAACGACAATTTACAATTTTTCCACAATGCATTGAGAAAGTTTGATGGCCTCTGCATTGGTGGGGGCAAAAAGGCATGCCCGGACTGGTAGATTTCCCAACCGACTCTGCCATATCCTCCCCCCCCGCATCTGCTCCCTCGCCCATCCCCCCTTCTTGAGGCAGCGTTCAGGACTTTGCAATGGCGGGCCAATGACGCGACGCGAGACCATTTTCCGTTATAATGCGTGCAGTTGGCGTACGCTGGACGACGCCCATAATGATGTTTTTTGTTTATGGGTTTATAAGCTTGACTGGCCGAAATGTAGGTTGTACTTATCGCATCTATATTTGTAAATACCTGATAGACTCTTTGATACCAGGTCTCCATTCACTTTCCTTAGTGCCATTTCTTACCGTCTGAGAAGGTGGGGCATGGCTTTTTAAACCATTGGAGTCATAGGACGGGTTTCTCGTGGGATACTTCACTTTGAAACATATGTGCTATCGGTTGTCTTCTGTGTTTGGATGTAGAATGACTACGGCTGCCACAGAAATGCCAGTATCTCACGGGAACCCGGGCCGCCGCCTTTTTATTAGGTTGTTCGAAAAGTCCTGCGACACTTTGTTTGAACTATTCTAGAAAAAGACCAAAAATCATTTTGAATGTTTTTATCTCTGATTAGTGGAGACTGTCTCCTGGGGTTTCTGAAAATGGGTATATCATGGCTCCGTGGAAGTTTTTAAAGCTTAAAATACTCGAGAGAGTCGAGTACTTCTGCGGATCCTATCGCCATTTATGAGTTCCTCTAGGGCAACTCCGCCATAGTCGAGGAAGCTAACACTTACGTTGTCTTGAGGAAGGATATCGCTTGCCATAGCAGAGAGTTCCTTTTGCATCAGCGCTTCCAGGCTGGACTTATTCAACTCGGAAGTAGGCAATGTATAGGTCGGCCACCAGCACAGAATGACGACCCTTTACTCAAGCTTCTTGAGGCGCAGCCGAACGTAACCACCAGTAAGTTGGCATTCATCTATCAAGGCCTAGTGGACTTGACAACTTGCCATGCGTCTCCGTAATGCTCGAGTTATCGGAAAGAATTTTATGAAGGAATCCTCAACGAGTTGCGACCGTCTGACAAGTCATGACCGTGACTGTGAATGACCGTGACTGAGTTTTTTCCTTGTACCCACTGGAGGAACATTTGTGAGATCTTATGGTTGGTAGAGAGGAGTGTGGGGTCCTTGCGTACATCCTGCACATGTTCCTCGCAGGATCTCTCAGAGAGAAAAGTAGATTGCACAGCCAAAAGCAGATGTGCATGGGATAAAGATTTCAGTAGGTTATTGGTGGGACTTCAAGGCGGCTTCTCGTGGCTTATCTAGCATATTACGGTAAGAATGCTACAGTCCACTCTGAACCAACCTGAAAATGGATGATGTCACGCTTGAAATTCTTCAAAAATATTTCATTTTTCTCTACGTTCCGAGTGGAAGACCGCATGTTAGAGATCTACGCGACGCCATAAAGATCCTGAATCTTGATCTGAAGAATGCGAACATTTACGACCTGTTCTGTTTGCAGTCGCGACACGACTTCTTGTTGGCTCAGATATACGTGATTGGTGCAGCAGCGACCCCTTTCTCTGAATTACCGTTCAGGGCAGTGGACGCAAAACTATTATAGAAAGGCAACACTCAATGGTTATTCGAACGCAGAGCTCGATTATCTCGTATGAAGTCCTTCAAACATCCAGTGGTGAACTGACATCACTGTTAATTCAAAGAGAGGAAAACTTAAAAGGGCATTTGGATGGTGCACAGACAAGTTCTTTGCGGTCTACTGTCAGCTGGTTCGTGCAGCCGCACCACGCCAGCTCTACTGTCTCTGAATGATTGATTGGATTATTAATGTAATCAGGAGCCTGAACAGTTGAGCGGATTTAAGGCCATTTTCGTCATCATTTTTGGAGGCATATGTTGATGGCAACAGGACAGTCTCACGGTAGGTTCTATTGAAAACTAGATTGATCCATGTGGTTTAGTAAAAAGGAAATGAAAAACGACATTAAAAACTGCAAAACAAACGACATGAAAAGAGCGTTTTTGGGGCGAGTCCACTAAGATTGGACCATCACGTGCAAATGCAGAAACACTGAGCGTTAACGGGACGAGAAAGATGAGAAAGTACACAGCAGCGAGGGTATCCTCCATGCCGTCTTTAGTGTAAGGGGATCAAAAGAGGCGTTGGGAGTCCCACAGGCACAAAGGGGTGGGAGAGTCTTCGGGTCGTTTAATCCTAATTTCGGGACAGTTTCTTGCCTCTTCTAAGGGTACATGTAGGGACCACAAAGGTGTAGTTCCTATTCCTTGCGCGCATCCGGGAATGCAAAAGAAAGGGTGAAGGATCTAATTTTGCATTACGGCAATTCTCTTTTCTCATGTTCGTATGAGCTGGAAGCTTCTGTACAAATTGAAGGGTTTCCTCAAAGGTACAACGGTCGGTCCAGAAGGGTAGCACGGGTTCTAAGTAAAGGGGGAAATGACGAAAAAGCGAAGTGAAACAGTCAAAAACCGCGAAAACCTTTGTTCTATGTGACCCAGCAAGCGATTTTTGACGAGTTTCCCGTTGGCATCTTGCCAATAACCACTATGCTAGGCACGGTTGCATGTATTTATGCACTCATGTATTCATGCAGCGCCGCAGCCGCTTGATATCAATCCTTCGCCTTATATTGTACTTCGCAAATGAAGCGATACGAGCATCAGCATCGGTCGGACATTTGTGGGCAGGGCGGGCGCGGTGAGCGTCCGGTCGGTATGTTGCAGCTTGATAGAGCGCTGTAGGGGTGCCTCCCTTGGAAAAGTGCATGCAAATTCAGCGCCTGCTCAGAGCGCCGAATTTCGTCCTGCTAAGCATATCAACCTACACGTCCCGAAGATATATCGTGCCAGTTACTTTGAGCGCCCAAACTTTTCATCCGAAAAACAACGCTTTCTAGCACTCTCTTCATCACGAACCCGCAGACCCTTTTCCGAGCCCTTTTTGGTCTCTTCTCGGCGTTCCCAGAAGCGCAGCCGAGACGAATTGCACTCTTGTGGTCCTTTTATGTACTTTCATAACAAGCAATAAATCGTTTGCAAAAAAATTCTACGACCTGGAAGATCCCCTGTGGGTCGCATCAGCACGATTGTCGTGCACTTCCAAGTACTGCAATGGCCACCTGCCCTTTTTGTCGGAGATTTGTACTCCACAACTACTTCATGCACAGCTACATGGGTACTTCATGGGCAGTTCCTCATGAATAGAAGAGATTAAATATATATATTAGCGGGAGAAATCACGGCGGCGGGGTGAAAAAAGCGGGGAAACTCAAGGAACAAGAATAGGTGCGCGCTTTATATCAGGTTGGACGGAAATTCGTGCGACACTTTGATTGAATTGTTCTAGAGGAAGACTAGAAAACATTTCGAATGTTTTCGATCCTGATTAGTGCTGTCTTCTGGGGTCCCCTAAATGGGTATATCATGACTTTGTGGAAGTTTTCAGAGCCTAAAAGGCCCTCAGAGATCGAGGTACTTTTGATGTATCCCACATTATGAGTTCCTGCAGGGCCACTAAGCTGAGAGAGGAAGCTCTTATCGCTCTTCCAAGCTGGAATTATTTAATTAGGAGGTAGGCAATGTATAGGTCGGCCACCAGCACAGAATGACGGCCCTTTACTCAAGCTTCTTGAGGCGCAGCCGAACGTAACCACCAGTAAGTTGGCAACCTCTCTAGGCTCCACCTAACTGACAACTGCCATGCTTCTCCGCAATCTCAATAGGGAAAATTTTTTGTGAAGGATGCCTCATGAGTTGGACCCGTCTGACAAGTCATACCGAATGACCGTGACTGAGTTTTTTTTCCTTGTACACACTGGAAGGAACATTTGTGAGATCTTGTGGTTGGTAGAGTGGTGGAGTCCTTGCGTGCATCATGCACATGTCCCTCTCTCAGACAGCATGTAGATTGCTTAAAAAGCGTATGGGCATGGAATAAAAACTTCTGTGTGTTACTGGTGGGACTTTGAAGCGGTATCGCTGGATACTAGCACAGCTGTAAGGACCACATCCACTCTAATCAACTTCAAAACATGGATGACGTCACGCTTGAATTCATTCAGAAATACTCAATTTTTCTCTACTACTCGGCAATGCGAAGACGCATGTGGGGATCAGGCTACGCCAAGATAATGGATCTCGATTGCAGCCTCTACTTACCACCTCCTTTGATCTCTTCCGCATCGTTTAGAAAGTAAAAATCTCGATAATTGATTTCCGGAAATGAGGACCACCTCTTCTTTTTATCATAGCTTGCAGTAGTTCTGTGGGAATGGAAATGGGAAGCTGCAAAAGATGGGCGCTAAACCTAGTCATCGACTATGGTCCAACTGTGGTTACCTTGTAGATTGGAGGTGTCTTTTAGTGAAGGAATTCGGTCCGAAAATTTGCTCAAAGTGTCGCAGGACTCCGTCCAACCTGATAGTTGTTCTCCAAGCTTTCTTAGGAGGCAACTCTGAGTGCGTCTGAAGCGTTTGAAAAGGTTATTCCGAAGAATAGAGTTCGAATTCCGTCAGGAGGATGAAAGAATATTGTAGAATACGGCGAGGAATATTGTGATAAGTCACGCTGAGGGACACACCATCTAAAACTATCTCATGACCGTCATCCATCCTGCCGCGTATACCCAAAACCTACTGCGACAGAACAGTGCAAAATTTCACTGAATTAGTCAAGCTGAAAGATTGGAGTTTCGTCGTTGATCAGTCTCTCTTCATGGTAGGGAAGGCATTTCGCTTTAATTACAACAGCAGTGACTTTCCAATGCGCTCTAGTCTGCGGGAACAAGCCAATGTACGAGCGAGTGTTTCTTCTTCCCCGGGAAGCAAGGTACCTATGATTCAGTAAGGAAGTGTATTAGGTCATCCCATTCAAACTGGCCGCTACATATAGAGGAATGGCAGAAAAGCAAAGGGGATAGAGCAGCGGGCTACTATACCATTTGGAAGCTAGTATTGGAGAACCTAGCCCCAGAAGAAGTTCTCGAGAAATTGAAAAGAAGCCCGAGTGGTGAAAATCGGCGCCGGTTTTTCAAATCAGACGTCATAAGAGGAAAGTGCGCTGCTCAAATTTGACCTGCGCCGGACCATAGTTGTGTGTAAGGGTGTTCTCGAAATACACGGTGGAAGATTTGGTTCAGGAGCCCGTACAAGGAAGAAAGGAAAAAATTTTTTGAATGGTCCCATAATATTCATCCTGCACAAGAAAAACGGGTGGATGAAGTCAGGCACTGAATATCTGATCACAGAGCCCGGAACCTTTGTCGGGTTTCCCCGCAAGATTGACATCCCTTCTGCAATTACTGTATGTACGTGTTATGAGCCGATAAACTTGAGGAATGGTGCAAGGGTGTGCGCATGGGTAACCGACCAGTTTTTCTAATGGAATTACGAACCGGCGGTGAGCGATTCTGATACGTCCAGGCAGTAATGTCTCAGCATGAGATGTGCACACACAACTGCGAAAACGCACCCAGTCCTTAGATGAAATATGGGTGGTCTCGGATCTCGAGCCGAAACTCACAGCCGTCAATTTTGTATGGATGCAGATGAAGAAGTCCCGGTTGCTTACGCATAAGGGTTTCGTTGATGATCATCATAGCAAAGGATTCCCACACTGTGGCTTTCAAGCGGCTCTATACAGACAAATCAAATCCGTCACTGTCGGTGCATATTGCTTGTTCCTCGGCATTCAGATCGACAAATGGATGGTACCACACAACTACAAGAAGGCCACCGTTGCTCGTCATAGTGCCAGACCCCGAGTAACTGTATTGTAGATCAGTGCTGGGACACAAACAATACTGAGACCTGGGTTCAATCGCCCCATTCGCCCGTCATAAAGCCATGCGATTACAACTGTTCTATTCAGTAGAGAGTACTCTCCGACGGCAGACGCTACAATGTTTTGTCATTTGCCGAAATTGGCAACAACAGCAATTTACCCACACTTGTTGAAAAATCGAAGGTACCAGAGGTCCAAAGGCCCTCGGGGCACTGGGAGCGGGTCATTGGTGAAGGAGGGATTTACTCATCCTAAAGCTAAAATATCACTTTTCTATCTATTCTCCTCTTTGTTTTATTCAAAAAAAACCAGCGGCCAGTTTGAATGGAATGACCTAAAGGAACATTTATTTATTATTACATTTAGGAACATTTAACGCTTGGGCGTTAGCCGACCCGGGTTCTCACCCCACGTCGCTCGCACGGTAACTGACGCCACTTGCGACTGCACCATCTCCGCCCGACTTTTTAATAATATTGTTATGCTGCTGTATCGAAGTATCGAAAAGATTTCGATGGATTGGTACAAAGAAAGTAGACTGTTCAAAACGGTTGAAAATTTCATTTCTTGGCCTACTCTAATTTTCTTTTGCTGCTAATATAAGGCTGCGTTTATACTTTGCGGCAGCGTAGCGTAGCGCTTCCAGCGTACGCCAGCGGCAGTGCCGGGGAGAGGATGCATATCGATCTAGCGTTCCCAGCGTCACCAGCGCACGCTGACGTACGCTAGCGGCACGCTAGCGCACGCTGGCGTAGCGAGGGCACGGGAAGCATAGCTATCGATCTAGCTTCACCAGCGTTTCTCCAGCGTCACCAGCGTTTTGCTAGCGCTTGCAGCGGCAGGGAGTAGAGACTATGGGAGAGCTGGAGTGTACAAAACATCGATTTCTCGTCGTGAAATGTTTCGCGTGTATTGCACCGCATGAGTAGGCAGTACCGTACTCCAAAATATGTAGCTTGATCAATACCGTGTTTTGAGTGTTGAAACTGTTGTTTTTGATTTCGCCTTCGGTCCGCTATTCCTGTTCGAGTTTCTCTTATTTGTTTCGTCGTGTGAAAGCCCGGTTTTTTTTCAACCATTTACAGTCATTTTATTGACTACATCGCTCAACATAATTTTACAGCTGGCCTTCTGTGTGCGGCTCCTGTGCTTGGAGCATGGTTCCGTGCAGTAACTGTAAGTTACTACTCAGAGAGTGATGAAGTTATGCTAAGATTTGTTGATTATGGAGGTTACACTCGATTACCAAGAAGCGAATTGCGACAGATTAGGTACAGTATTCATCGCTGTTTTGGTTTCTAATCCTTTTATCGTTTCGTTTCAGGACGGATTTGATGTTCTTGCCATTCCAAGCTATTGAGTGCTACCTGGCTCACGTCCAACCAATTGATGGTATGTGACAATGGTTTAAGTTCATTTGTTCGATGTTTGATTTCATTTTTGTTTCCCCTTCGAGTGCACTAGTCCTTTTTCGTTTTCATTCGGAAAATATGGACGTCTTAGGTATTTTGCATAAGCGCTCTCTTGGTGCTGATCGGTGATGTACGAGGGGGAATTTGCACTTTTGCTGCTTACCATTTTCGTGTCGAGCCACCAAGTAGAGATTTTTGTAATCTTGTGATCCAGATGTGATAAAAGTCGAAGTTTGTGGAGGCTCACCCTTGTGAAGCAACGAGCATGACAATGAAATAAGTAAGCAAAAGTGCAAATTCCCCCCTTTCCGTCGCCGAACTGCACCTGCTCTCTTTTTTGGGTCACATCCATGATTACGTTCCGGCTCTTCATTCCTGCGAAGGATTCCGATTCTGCACCGCACCAGTAGGGCAGTACCGTACTCCACAAAAAACACGGCACTGCGCAAGGAGATTACGCAATGCCATGTTATTCTTGGAGTACGGTACTGCGTGTTATCGTGTTTTGGGTGATGAAATTCGCAGTGTTTTCCGTCGTCTTCGGTCTCTCATTCAGTGTCTCCTGTAGAGCCATCATCACTCGCTTCCTCTGTTTCGCGCTGTTTCGGCTTTGCCAATTTTCTCCGCTGCTCTGCATCCCAGTGCTTTTGTTTGAAACATTTGCCTCATATCCACAGGCGTCCATCTCTGAATAATAACTGCCTTGTGCCTGAAAAGGTGTAACATCATTTAACCTAAATCGAAGCTGGTATAGAAGTGAGGTATGAATAGTAGATTTCCGACGCCCGTTCCGCTGATATCCTTAAGGCCGAGCGTTCCTGATGTAGGATTCAGTATTGCCCCTCTAGAAAAAGAATGGTATCAAGTCTTAATGACGTAACCCAGATAAAAACTATAACATTAAAGAAAAACGCTTTGTCTCATCGCATGGAGAATTGTTCCTTCTGACAGAATGGTTCCAGTCCGGCACGTCGCGGCCTCTGAACGGTCGCAAAAACTGCTGCAGCGCCGGCGGGTACGCCGTGCTGCTACCGTATCCTCGGGTATACAAGAGGCGATGACTACAGTCCTCTCGACGGCCACTCCCACTTGCGGAATAGGGGTGTAGGACTTTTGTGCAACGCACTTTTTTTCGCACCTCTTCCCCCAGTCGCCTGCGGTGTGACCCCACTTGCTCGCTGCCTTCTGACCTCTCATGGATTACGCTGTTCAGTCATCTACAACATTCTATAAAGCAAAGAATAGGAATAAAGAAATATGAAGAATAGCTCATACCAAATGAATATTGAGTTTCAAACTTATGAATTAAGAGTTAAAAAAAACACATATTGTAGACTTTTCCTCTACTTGGTTTTACGCCAAAGTTTCAAATAACTTTATTGGTAAAATAGTTATTATTATACCTTCTTCAAATACAAATATGAGAAATATTAACAGCTTTCATTATACATGAGCAGAACTTAAATTGTTGTGTTGGTTACAAATCTTGACATCTTCACACAATACTGTTCTATCTGACTTTCACTCACCCGTTTCGGTAACATTCTTTGAACCTGTAAGCAGAAACGAAAAATTTTGTTTGAGCATCTCACATGTAATTAACAAAGAAATGAAGATGTGATCCATTTACTCTGCTGTAGTTGCCCTTCTGTTTTCATCTCGTTTTAGCAACTTTCTGGCGTTTCCTGGATCCTGTTAATAGGAAGCTCACTGAATAGAGTCAATACAATGGTGTTCAAGATCCTAACTTCCTGGAGGCGTCTTAAGGCTGCTCCTGCTTCATAGTCAGCTTACGGAGAGCTTCAATGAGGGCATTCAGTGGTGGATGGTTCCCGTTGCTAATCAGTCCTAGCCTTCTGGAGGGGTGTGAAGAATTGCGGAAGGAGTTGGGTCAAAGCGACTATGTATAATGATGAATCATGCGGAGACATGGTAGACTAGGGCCTTGAAGAACCGCAGAGTTCATCCAATATGTGGGTGCATGTTCCTGGGTGGTAGTGTAGAGGAAACGAGGGAGGGAGGGAGACGTGTGGAAGGATGACGACAGTCGCTGAAGATCGTCGCAGAAGAATTCGCGATTCATGCTGTGTTTAAGTGAGTGCATAAAGTAGTGGCTGCTGGTGTTGTCAAGGTAGCCCTTAAATACTTCCTAACGATGACTTTTTTATCAGGTATTAGGATAAGGAAGACATCCAAGATAATCAACAGCGCTCACGGTCACATTCAACGAATTGACCCGCTTGAAGGCGGTAATCTCTTTATATATATGCCCCCCCCCCCCTGTATATATCGTCTATAAGCGCAAATGGAAGCTTTGTATTCGATTGAGGGAAGGTCTCCACAATGTTTTTTTTTCACTTCTTAATCATCGACTTGGAACTCAATACTCATTCAGTCTTCACACTTCCGTATTCATATTTTTTGAGTTGTGTTATAGCATGTTATAGGTGGTTGAACAGCGTAATCGATGAGAGGTCAGAAGGCAGCGAGCCAGCAATTAAGTGGGGTCACACCGCAGGCGACTCTGCCATTATGAGAGGAGAGGTGCGAAAAAAGTGCATTGCACAAACGTCACATACCCGCGGAATAGGCCTATATAGTGACTGCCCAGCGTCTTTTAGCTCCTCTCTTACCTCGTCTTTTTTCTGTACTTTTTTTTCTCTGTCTTCTGTACCTTGTTGAAATAAGTTCTAGACCATGTAACCACATACTTTAATAATCGCTCATAGCTGCACTCTTACCTTCCACTTTTTTTTAATTTCCTATAGTTCGGTCTTTCTGTATAGTGCACTGAAGTAGGTATACCATTCAAGGAGGCAGACGTCAGCGCATGCATTGGTGTACCATTCGTTATCATAGATTAATAGATACGTCCGATTAGAGGAGGTGAGACTTATCTATGAAGTTATGGCGATCCAAATCTTCACTGATTTAATTTAGAGGGCAGTCCGCTGGGTTTCAAAGAGGGGGAAAGGGGAAAAATGGTTGGGAGCACATGGAAGCCTATTATAGGTACCTTAAATCTTGAACAAAAAAGTACAGCATTTGAAGATAGCGTACCCGTACGTACTGGCATCATGTCAATTTTGTTCCCTTTCAATAAAAATGTTTTCAATGTTTGTTCCTTTTTGATGTACTCACATTGTTTGAGCCACTTGTTACCGTTCTGCTATGAAACGGTGGTATGCTAGAATTATGCTAAATGAAAGCAACTCCCGAAGCGGGCGGTTGTATTCAGATTTTTATGGAAGAAGAGCGCGCACGCGTCCGACTTATCGAACTTGTCGAGAATGAGCGGTGCCTGTGGGATCGCAGAAACGAAGGCTACAACATACCCAGAAGAAAAAGGGCGGTCTGGGAGAGGGTGCGGGAATCGGCGTGCCGGGTACAATTACAGCGGTATGTTCCCAGTACCTCAATTGCATTTGGTGCAAACCATGTAGTGTAAATATCGAATTTTTAGAAGACGATATTAGGAAGGCGTGGAAGTACTTAGTCGACGCTAGAAGAAGAAAGAAGCAGCACACAACTGGCTCACCCACCGTCAAAGAGTGGGCGTACGGCCAACAGATGGCTTTTCTAGATAGAACTGAGTTTAAAGGCTGAGCCATGTGATATGTGTCACTTTGATTTGAGAAGTAAGAATATGAATTGCCGTTCAGAGGAACGCTTTCCAATCTCGATGAGAGCGGCAACTTCTTGACTATGCCTGAGACCCGATTTGAGACATCCATTTCATCATTAGATGACATGGAGGCCGAATCACATTCACCAGGACCTTCGCACACACTTCAAAAAATCCCAGGAAGATGCGAAAGGGATGGTGAGGGTCTTCACGAAAAGTCCTGAGTAGTTTTGACTTGTCTTTTTCAGAAGCGCTCGAAATGATAAGGGAGGCAGCCGAGGCGGTGAAAGCCTGAGCGAGCCGTGAGCGTGGCACAAGAACAGGGCACAGAACTGGTTACTCATAGAATATTTCAAGTTGAGACAACCGCCATCTTGTTTTTTGTTGCTTAGAGACATGACCACAACTGGGTCAAAATGGAATATCTCTCTGAATGCATAGCCACCACGACGTTCAGTTGAAGTACGCAGCCACGCCTACATTGTTTCAGTGATTTCGATGTATTTGTTGTGTTCTTTTCACGGATTTACATTTGCTCATTCTCATGGGTTTCTAACGTGTTTATTACAGCGGGTCCAACTTACGGTTATTTGGGTTAAACGGTTATTTCACTTTGCTTTCTGATACTAACACCTCACTTTTGTTGTGCTTCAATAGCTTGGCTTAAAATTTTGTTATAGCTTACTGCGGGTTTTTTTTGCTACTACCGGTCCATCAAGCTGTTTCCTACGGGTTTTCGTTATTCAGTTTACTATTTTGTTATAGTTACACAGTTATGATTTCAACTGAAGTTCTGATTCACTTCATTTCCCCCTCAACTACCTCGTCTCATAATCTGTAATCGGTGATCCTAACGCGTTCGATTAGTACACTGGTTCTAAGTCTTTGTTTGTGTGTCACTTTAATAACTAGATATATATATATAACAAAAATGAAGTGTTACTGAAATATTTGACGGGACGAGATAGACGAGAAAATGATCTAGTATTGAACAAAATCTGAATGGCCGCAACAGGTTAGAAAGCACAAGAGCGGTACAGCATCACAGAACAGCCACATGAAATGAAACTGTGTTTGTTAGTAACAAAAGAAGCTGTAGCGCAGAACAGAGGCGACAAGCAGTGACTTGAAAACGAATCACAACAAAATGCAGCACTGTTCTGTTTATAGAGCCTATGCATAAAACCTGATAGAAGTGGAGACCAAATCGTACCTCTTCTGGAATAATTCGGAAGAAGCCGTAAATGACACCAACAGGGCACAAGGGAGATGATACAACGTTGAAAACACCACAAAAAACGAAACACCACAAAAGTAACGACGATTGCAGCACATCTTCAAGAGAACTACGCGTTTCGAAAACACTGCGAGCTTCAAAACTCTGCCAAAGTGTGTTCCGAACATAAACAAGAACACAACAATGACAGAGTAATGAAGAAGCAGTCGAAGAAAAAAAAGATTGATGAGAAGTAAAGCGAAAGACTCACGCACTAGGAGAAACAGCAGCCAGGGCAGCATACCTTGAAAGAAAACGCATTTCAAAAACACTGCGAGACTCTGCCAAAGTGTGTTCCGCACATGAACAAGAACACAACAATGACAGAGTAATGAAGAAGCAGTCGAAGAAAAAAAGATTGATGAGAAGTAAAGCGAAAGACTCACGCACTAGGAGAAACAGCAGCCAGGGCAGCATACCTTGAAAGAAAACGCATTTCAAAAACACTGCGAGCTTCAAAACTCTGCCAAAGTGTGTTCCGCACATGAACAAGAACATAGCAGTGACAAAGTAATGAGGTAGCAAAGAAGAATTAGGAATAAATAAAAAGGAAACTCACGCGAACAGGAGGAAAAGCGACCACAGCGGCGAACCTTCAACAAAAAACGTGTTCCAAAAAGACCGCGAGCTTTGAAGCTATGGCAAGCTGTGTTCTAAACTTGAACAAGAACACGAGGAAGCCATAGCGATAAAGGAGCAGTCAAACAAAAAATAATTTGACGCAGAATAAAAAAGGAAACTTATGCACCAAGCCGGTCACTGCAATGTAGCATGACAAAAACGTTTCAAAAAGACTGCGAGCTTCAAAACTCTGTCAAAGTGTGTTCTAATCATAAACAAGAACACTACAATGATAAAGTGATGAAGAAGCAGTCACACAAAAAAAGAACTAGAAAAAAATGAAAAGAGAAACTCACGCAACTGGAGGAAGAAGTGCCACAGCAGCAAAGGCCGGAAATAAGGAAGTCCACTTCGACTGCAAACTTCAAACCGATGTCAAAGAGTGTTTCAATCATAAAAAGAAACACTTCTAAGACACAGCATGAAGTGAAGAGTCAAAAAGGGAGAAAGAATGCGAGCCAGTTGAATAAATGCCTGAAATAAGGCCAGATACAGAGGAAAAGAGCATAATAATAGACATAAAAATAAAGGAAATTAGAGCCAGTACAATTCAAAATTGTTCAAAATAACTCACCTTCCACTTTCGAAGCTTGAAGAGCTGAAAAAGTGGGAATTCGCCGCCGATTTCCATCGAAATCAGCTGATTCGGCGGGCAATTGTCACCGAAGCGCAGCCGCTCGCGCGCCACAATGCAGCGCTGCTGCGCCGCCCCGACAGTACGTAATGAAGAGGAGTGTATCCATTCGAAGTTCCATGGTAAGTTGGCGGACTTCCCTGGTTAGAGGACACTTTAGAATAGGGCATATGTCGTAGCTGAAGATGGGAACCATGGTCCCTGAGGTATTCACTCACTGATATGATTAAGGGTTATACAGCACAAAAGGATGAAATGGTGAAGCTTTCAGCAGAGGTACAGATCGTCTCGGCTAAGAGTACTCCTGTGTCGTATTTTTATTTCTCAGTCACTTGAGGACTTCCACTCGGAACCGCTGCAACATTTCGGGGCTATATGTGCTATGAATGCGAAGCCAGCTAATGTTCTGCAGACTGATTGCTAGGATCCTTTAGTTGTACACGTAATCTGGTCCGCATTCTGAGAGATCGTCCTCCCTCCACCTTGGCAGCTCAACAATGAGTGACGAAGGGATTGCCGTCGTTAGAAGCCTAACGAACATAAAAGTTTCGTCACTGAGGAAGAGGTATGCCGGTGGCACTATATCTGTGAATGTAGCTGTGACGTGCTGCGTTTTGTATGGAACTGACCTTCGCTTTGCTATGTCGTTCACCTTCACGGTCTTGTTCCTGTTCTGCAACCTTTTTCGTTTGACTTACCATCTAGGCAGGAGTGTTTTACTATACGAAACATTCGTGGAATCTTGAGCCTTATTCAGAGCGCCTTTCGAAGTAATTCCTACTCTTTTATTTACTAGTAATTCGAGAAGTATTTAGAAAGCTTGGGCTCTAAATCCCATTGAGTGTTATTGTGAAATGTGCATTTAGGTCACTGCTCGATCCAGTGAGATAGATTTGGTATCGCACCAGGAGGTGTAGAAACTTGGATTGCCTGGTAGAAAATTTATCTGTGAACCGTGCGTGCTGGCAAGTGGCGCACCGACACCACCTATACGATAAGCTACAAGATGATCAGTTTCACGTAAATGCTGAGGTATGTGCAAAAGCCAAACATCAGGGAGGACTCGAACCTGTATATCCCGTTAACCGGACGAGTGTTACTATCCATTACGCCACCAGAGCAGCTCTTGCCTTCTACGATATCCTCACTGGGTTTGTATCATAGCCTTACACTACTCAAACGTGATAATAGGGTTAGCCATTCAAAGCCAATTTCGTTTGACCCTGTAACAGTAGAGGTCGCACCAGTGCAATAAGGGCATTCCCTTTTCAGCTAAAGTAGTCCCCGTTCGGGAAGAAATCCCCCAATCAGCTGCAACTGCAGTGTTCATCAGACGTTGGTGCTATCCGAGCCTATCGCTGGATATGCAAATTCGTGTAACATTCTGTGGTAAATTCGTAGACTCTCTAAGTGACCAAAATGATCTGAGGAAGCTTCATCGAAAAATTTCAATTTTTTTTCCAAAGAACAGATACTGATTGAGTGAAATCAGCACGGTACAGGAAATGGTGTAGGCAGCTTACGATTAGATGATTGTACCTCACCTGAATGAACCGCGCTCCTCCCCC